ACCTTATATTGATCATGACCTACTTGCTTTTGGTAAGTTGCTGAGCTGCCCTTTAGAAGCATCCCTTCAGAAGCGTTGAATATTGGACTTTTATGTATGAATTTCTCCGTGCAGCAACAATAAGTCAAGACATGCAGGAATTCGTGGACTCCAGATTAAATTCCGCGCTTTTACAGATACGTTGAACATGTATACTCACGATGGGCAACAAAGAAACACAATGTGCACTTCAAAAAGGAAAGTTTTGTCACTTTATCCGCAAAAATAACTAATAGTTATGAAAATATAATTTTCGTATAGCATATGAGAAAAAGGAAAACCGTTCATCGGGAGAGGTAAAGTTGCTTCCGCACGTTTTAAAAATCGAACCCAGCTACTCGGTTTCGGAGGTCGGGACGTCCTATGCACAGTAGGCGTGCGCTGCGTACACCGCATTATTCCTTCCCACACCCGCCTATGGCCGTTGAGTCAAGACTGGAGGCGCGATCTGGCGCACTGGCTGGTAAAGCTAGAAAGCCCATCTGCGCCTGCTACACACACGCCTGACCAGCGCACGAGGGACCATGCTTTCACCAAAATTACGGCGGAACGCCTCGGATCTCATTTGAACGGGAGTGCCATAGAGGTTCCATCAAGAAAGAGCAGTCGCAGTCTGGTTAACGGTCTTCCGGGAAGAGCCGCGTCATCCAATTAGCCTTCCAGTTCACGGCTTCTGACGCACTGTGGCAGTTTCAGAAGGTATCAGACTGTTTATAGTGGGGAACGTATGCTGAGAGTCGACCTCACTCTCTCTTCCCAATCTCAGGCATCAGTCCACTTTCCGAGCCGGTCATTGGATGCAGAGATTGAGCACAGTGGTTGACAGAGCTAGACAGCCCGTCTGCGCATGTGACGCACGACCTGGTCCCCAGTACAGCACACCAAGACTTCACACAGATGGGTTGGTTGGCTCAGATCTTCCGTGTGTGAGAGTGCCATAGAGGCATGCTTAAGGAGGAGCCATTGGTTATGACGATCAGTTCACAAGTAGGTCACTCCAAACAAATACGCACAGGGCTGCCTGCATGGCCTCTGTTGTAAGTTGGTTAGAAACCTCCCAAGCCCCGACCTCTAGTGCGTCAGGCTATATCCAGACGCGTCACAGTTATTATAGGCAGGAATACGCTGAAGTGCCACGATGGTGGATTCCCCACTTTTCCTTCTCTCTCTCTCTCGTGTGCCAAGTGATTGGCCCAGCTGGCCAAACAACCGATGCTGACACCGGACACAATGGCCGACAGGGCTAAAATATCCCGTCTGTACGTACCACACACGACCTTATTTCCGCGCAGCGCACTAGGAATGCACGCACTGGGAGTCGGCTGCTCAGATATCACATGTGTTATAGTAGCGGAAGGGACACATGGGGATGGAGCCGAACTTCCTACTCACGTGCGAGGTGCCTAGTCTATGTCTGCGGAGTGTGATGTCGGATGTGTTCATGTGTGGTGCACAAGTTGATCGGAAACTGAACGGTGGTGGGTTTATTCCGCTTTCCGCAGATTTTCACAGAGGCACATGTGACCGAGTAGGCCCCTGCAGTGATTAAATATGCATGGGCAGTGTGGATAGTAAAGATTGGTGCAACGAATGTGTGTTGGTATTCCAGACCCTGGTTCGCCGGTCTTAGTGCGATGGATTCGAAAGTGAGCGAAAAGGCCGTTGCGTGATGTGAATGTGCGGTCACAGTGAGGACAAGTTGGGATCCAATCCACATTGTTCGTGAGGGGATGGGTAGTGGCGGGAGTGGTGCCTAACGGAGCATCGGGAATGTTCTCATCGGATGCGGAGGAAGTGGTACTCATCGCCGCAGAGGTTGTTGCAATGATGATGGGGTGGTAAGACAACTGGAGGGGAGTCACCGGTGGGGATGGCGGTCGTGGTCGTGGGCGCCGTGTTGGTTGCGGCAGGGATGACGGTGGAGGCATTTGAGGAGGTAGCAGGTGAACTTGTCGCGTCATTATTGCATAGAGTACGGGGATGTCAGAGGATGCTGGTTCGTGCGCGGAAGGTTTGTTGGTGGCGTGGAGACGATGGAAAAGTGGGGGTGTTAAGGGTTAAGGTTGTGCTGCGCCTACGACTTATGGGTCACTTCTTGGCTTTGGAAACGGCTTTCCAATTGGTCTCACAGATTGCTGTTCCAGTCTTCACTGCTCTTCCCCGGCAGTCATGGGCAAGCTCCTGCCTCCTGACTTCCTCCGGGCAGGTCGGGAGGCAGTTCTTATGGCATCGTTGTTGTCATCCTCGGCGAGAATTCGTAGCGAGCCTCTGTAGAACCGTCTTTTTGGCAATCTCTCGTTGTCCATCCTCACGGGGCGGCCGTTCCATCTTAATCGCAATTGGCTCAACATGGGGTGGATGCTAAGGATTCCAGTCCGTTCCAGGATTTCCGTGTCCTGGAACCTATCTGTCACCTCGGCCTTAGTACCGCCAGGAGACAGCTGAAACGGAAGTGATTGCGTTTCCTGGCTTGACTGATGAAAAGGTCTATGTCTATTTCCCTGTGCAAGAGAGTTTTTATAACTACCGCTCGGCAGGTTATGAGCTTCGTCTCGAGTCGAAATCCACGATTATTCCAGACAGAAGCCTAAAACCGAAAGCCTGCGGAGTCTTTTCTGACTTTGGAGATTTGGTGGGTCATTTCGCCCTATATCTTGGTGTCGTCTGAGATGGTGTCGCCTAGGTATGCGAACTTGTCCATGGATGGGAGTCGAATACCGTTATGACCCGACCTGGTTCAGAGCAATTACACGACACGTATGCGTGCAGGACTGTTGTCCCTAACCCCAACAAGGCAGAGAGACAAAACACCATCGGATACGAGAAAATGTACTACGACCTGCAAATCACTCTCATTGGAAAATGGTGTGTATTTATAGCATCCCGTTTAGACTGGCTAGCATTCTGCCCATCTGCTTAAGAGGAAAATTCCAGCAGAGCCGAACAACTTCTCGCGGACATGGACCATTCATGTTCAAAAAAGCACCGTGGCCGCAGCCAACCTCGAGACGCTGTCGACTGCGCGTTCTTGGTATGCAGCGAAGGACACGCACATGCGCTTTCTAGTGACTTGACCGGCTAATTTTTGGAGCGTGGAGATTCCCAACAGATACAATTCACATTTATACTGGGCCCATTGCGTTTCTTCTCCGGTGTCGATTTGTTTATGGCTAAAGTTTGTTGTCTTGATGGTCAGCCTGAATTTTGTGCAGCCGGAGACAAAAAGGCTCATGCATTTTTACATGGCTGCTTTTGTCCTGACATTGAGTGTACAGCCGTCCGCGAGGAGTAGGTCGTTGACAGTAGTTGTTGAAGTCCGCGTGAATGTTTGCATTCGTCGGATGCTGAGAGACTGGCCGTAGGTCCTGTCAACGAGGTTGATCCTAAGGCGCTCCCTATGATAGGCGTCCAGCAACACGGATAAGAGCATGAGATTGATGTGGGTGGAAGCGAATGTGCAGCCCTACTTCACTCCATTGGTCCATGTAAATGTTTCTGGGACCGTCCTGTTTATCGTAACGCGCGGCATAATCAGTCGTGAGGCTGACACACTGTGCGAAAGAATCGCTCGGAATAACCCAATTTCTGCATGATTTTCCAGAGGTCATTGTAATTCACCGTATCGAAGGCTTTCATCAAGTTCACGGAAGGAGTGTAGAGATTGGCATGCGTTTCCTGGCACTCCTCTTTTAGTTGTGGGGCGGGGAAGATCATGTCGATGGTTCCGCGGTGTCGCCAGAATTCAAACAGGTTTTCTTGGGAAGTCCGCCATCCAGATAGCCGTGAGATGGTTGAGAAGGATGCGAGCAAAATCCTCACCGGCAATGTTAGGCAGAGGAATGCTTCTGTTATTGTCACAGAGTTGTTGGTTCATACCCTTTCTGCAGATGTCAATCCCCTCTCAGTTTGTAGAGACAGATGATTATCGCGTCCTTGAAATCCTGAGGGGTTTGTCCCTTGAGCAACATTCTTTACAACAGCGCTGTATGTCCATCAGCCGAGGACTACCGTACTTGAAGAGTTCGGTCGGTATGGTGTCGGATCTCGATGCATTCACATTGGAGAGCTGTCACACGACTTTGATTATTTTTTGGGGGAAAGTCAGACGGACCATGTCGATACTGGTCCCCACTTGGAGGATCCGGTCAATGACGGAGTAGGGGATTGCGGATGAATTGTTGAGGACGCTTCTAAAGTGTTCACCGGGAAATTCAGAATTTGCCATTTTTCTGCAATAGTTGTTGACCCGCTGGAGTTGGTCAGCAGTGCAGCTCCTTTGGTGCAGGGGTCGTAGACTTCCTCGGTGAATGCGAAACATTCTTCGTTTCCTTGTTCCCGCCTGTGCTTGTATTTCCTCGAACTTGCGATCCATCTACGCATCTTGCATTTCCCGCAGACGTTGCTGCGCCAGGCGGCGATATCTGATGAAGACCGCTTTGTTTGTCTCAATACAGTAGTTGGCGTGTGCCTTCTGCAGTTCATCATTTTCAGTGAGTATTTTGTTGATTTCTGCGTCGTCGCCAAACCCGTCCTAGTATGCATAACGTTTAGGGGCGTCTAGGGCGGTGAGCTGGATGACGATCTGCAGTTTACGCCACTGTGCCTTCAAATTATTGTCGTCCGGAGCCTGCGGGTATTCCAGGCGCTGCGTCATTTGACTGCTGAAATCGACGCGATGGGCAGATAAATTCAACTTACCTTGTGGTCATTAACCTTGCAATCTTCAGGGAGGTTTCGCTCGAAGCCTCGTCTTGGAGAGGACGGGGCGGTGATCCGTCCAGACGTCGGTGTCGCAGATCGTTCTTGTCACCTGCATGTCCGGCCACTCTCAGCTCCAGGCTAGAACTTAATCCAGCAACTGCCAGCGTAGCAATCCAGATCGCCTTCTCCCGCGTCCGAAAGCGGAAAAAGGTGTTGGTCAGGAGGTAACGGTGTTTTCCGCAAATTCGCAGGAGGAAGAGTCAGTTGTCGTTGCAGCCGCCAATTCCGTGGGGACCTAGCACTCCCTCCCAGGCAGCGTGGTCTGTCCCGACGCCGGCATTGAAGTTCCCAAAGGCAATCAGCTTGTCCGCCTTCTGTACAATTGCCAGGAGAGGGTACAATTTCATATGGTGTTTGCTCTTCGCCTCGTCTGAGCTAGCTATTGGGGGGGGGGCGTAGGCGCTGATGAGGCTGGCGAATTTGGCTCGCCGAAGAGACAGGCGTAGGGTCATGAGACGGTCGTTGGCGTCCTGCAGAAGACAGAACAATCGTCCCCCGATGTCCTTCCGGTTGGCAAAGGCGACATCAGCGTCGCATGGCTCTGTGTTTGGGTGGCCGCTCCAGCAGAAGGTGTAGTCAGCACTCACCTCATTCAGTCGGCCCTGTTCGGGGAATAGGGCCTGGCAGAGAGCGGCTATGTCAGTCCTGTAGCACGTTAGTTCTTGAGTAAGTAGCACAGTCCTCCCTTTCGGTCGGTTGCTTCGCGGGTTGTCTAAAAAAGAACGAACATTCCAGACTGCCACAGTAACTGTACTCCTTCTGGCAGTCCTCGCGGTTGGGCAGAGGGGATGGGAACGAGTGTGGCTGTCGTTCAGTGTTCTGTTTCTACTGCGAGTTCTGCATCTACAAATCACAATATGCTTGCAGATAGCGTGATTTTCCAGCAATTGGTTAGAACACTGACTCTAGTCTCTTACCCCGCGAGGGTGTAAGTAGTGCTTCTCCTTAACACATCTGCTCAGACAGCCCAGACAGCTGCTGAACTACACTATGGGTCATGGCTTTGTCTACTGGGAGAGCGACCCGAGTTAGCCTGGGCAGCCTATGTGCTTGCATGTCTCCCTCCCCGTGGGACTTTTCGAAAGTAGGGAGGGCAAGAGATAGAAAGGGAGCAGTATTACTGGGCTAGGGAAGGCGTACAACACCGGATGCCCTCATCTGATCTATCCTGCCAGTCACGGCGGTTGCCGGGGTGTGCCCGCCACTCGGAGCCTAGCTTCGGGGGGGGGGTCGCAGACGAAAGTTTGGCTCTCGTTGGAGGCCGTGCGTCGCAGTAAATACTTTTATGATACGTCTTACCACACCCGCACGGTTTAGCCCGAACTACACACCTCCTCACCCCCAATTGTGGTATAAACACCAGAGGAAGGACCTCAGCAACGACTTAATTAGCGGTTTTCCAGCGCGAATATGAGCAGTAATATACAATGGAGTGCGGCGCCATCTTATTCTGAAGCTGGACCCATATCCGTTTTCGAACTGTCTGGTTACTGAATTCATACTTCCCCAGGTCCTTTCTTTCTCTTCTAGTAAATATTTTCCGAGTTACATGCGTTCAAATATACTGCCTTACACTTGAACAAGGACTACAGATTTAAACAAACGACTTCTGAGAACACGCAACGTGGAGCGATCGGGATTGCTAACAGTATGCATATAAATCGTGCTCAGAATATTGAGGGCGACTTGAGTTATTTCCTCTCTTAAAGGCTATTCAAAACAGCTCGCTTGTGGCATTCTAAGTTATCCACAGTCGTGTCTGTTGCTACAACTACGCCACTTCTTTATTAGTATGAACCGAGTCGACCATCCCACGAGGTTAAAAACGAAATTCTGCGCTTAGACCGAGCGCAACTCGTTCCCAGTCAACGAACAGTCTGATGACAGAAGTCCTCAAAACAACCGGACCATGTGTCCTCTGATGAAGCATGCCTTTTATAGCATGACTGCGAAAAGTTCGGCCCCCGGCGTGACCCTTGACTTACATCAATTCATTCCTGAAATCGAGACTGACCGAGCATCGGAACAGTTTGTTTGGCTGTCCAAGATTTTGAACACACACACACGAGTCAATCATCAGAAATGACAGTAACAACAGAACAATTGGCAGTTATTAAGTACTACAACTAACCAAAGACCAAGGTCGCAGGTCCGGAGATGACTGTTAACGATTCTATATGCGGACGTAAAATTAATACGGCGGTTGACTGAGTTCCCATCAACTAACTAGACTTCGACGGTAGGGCACGTGAATAGGAATCTCATAATACTGGTGGCCCTGTGATAAATTTCCGGGGAGATTCGGGTCGAGGCGAAGGTGAAAGTCAGGTCTAACGTTGATATAAAAACACGGAAATAGGCACAGCCTGTCACAAGACTTCTATTCCAGTGCCTTGCCGAATCAACTTCCGGCTGGCCTTCTCACTGGCTTGAGAAATTATCTTAGTCAGCAAAATTTAAATTGTGTCCTAATTTGAAGGTGGGCGTAGCCAGCTGTGATACTTCGCCACCGCGTCGCATAGTCAACTTGTGTTCATGTATACACGACCAGAGATTGCGTTCGGTCTGACCTGTGTAGGCATGGGATAAGATATAGTGTATATTGACCCAACTGTGAAAAACTCGTCGCTTCGGTGGGATTCGAACCCACGTCTCCGGCTTAGTGCAGGGCTGCTACTGTGGGAACTTGTAGCGCTCCAAAAGACATTAATCCTTCCACCACTGGCACCCAGTCCGCGGTAAGAGTCATGTGATTACTTACGGAATCCTGCTTGGACGGTCGGCGTACTGTGTCAGATTTGGTGGATTCCAGAATTTGCAGTAGGTTGGGCGGGTAATTGGACACAAACGTGATTAAACTCACGTCACCGGGTAGGACCTCGTAGTTCAGGTGGCTAGAGCGTTGGCTGTACTAAAGCCTTTCCCTTGCTGTCGTGGGTTCGAATCTCACCGAGGGGCCGATATTTTCACAGTTGGATCAATATGAATTATTCAAAATCTGCTAAAACATCTATGAAGATACCTTTCCGGGGGATTCTCGCTGAGGCTTAGACGGTCGTTGATCGTCACCAACTAGGGTGGAGCCAAGTTGGTGCACAAGCCCAGCACCTAATCCTGCAGCACACCGTCGTCTTCACAGATGGTGGGACGCAAAATTTCTCCAGTGGACCTGCTGTTTGGATCCTTCGACGAGCAGGCACCTAGACACCGGCACACAACGGCCTCTAGATGACCATTTCCCGCCATTTTGTTGCGGGAGAACGACCCTCACATCCTTTATCACCCCGGTTGGTGAAGTGCTTCAACGTTCGTCTCCTGAAAGTTTCGCCTGTGAGTTGCTGAGCGGTTGCTCTGACAACTGAGGAGCTGTGTGATGTATGCAGCCTGCCTGTAAACCACAGCCTCCGTCACACTGTTAGAAATCTGTTCGACATGCCCAACAAGGACCTGCGGCCGCCGCTTACCTTATTCCTTCTTCACGTACATGTACGGGAGAAGTGACTTATGAAGGTTGTGGAGATGCTGCAGCACATCCCTCCCGATATCTCATGCGTAATGAGCCCCCAAATCGCCTCAGACGGGCTGCAGACAGTCTTTTATAGTTTATAGCGTCTAAGCAGTGAGCGTGTTCTCAGAGCGCCACAGTACGTGGTACGTTCTTTCTATAGTGCAACGCAAGCGTCGCTTGATTGTGTTTGAGGCGTTGTCACCCTTAAAAGGTAGACATATTATAACGGGCTTCTTCGGAGCGGACTGTTCCGTCAACTTTGGCCGTAAATGGTTGCTGTACTTCTGAATGAAGCGTGCAGGATAACCACGATTAAGTAAGGCTTCTTTGATAAGGGCAGTTTCTGTATCTATGGTCTCCCTGGAGCAAATATTTCTCGCTCTTTGAAAAAGAGTATGTACTAGATTACGTTTCCATTGTATTGGCGCAAAGCTTTTAAAATGTAGGTATTGCCCTTTCCACGTAGTCTTGTGGAAGACGGAGCGTCTTATTGAACCATCATCCTCTCTAAACATGAGGACGTCCAGGAAGGGTAACTTGTTAAACTGCTCCATTTCCATCGTAAATTTGATTTTAGGATGCAGATTATTCATCAGGCAAAGTAGGTCGGAGGCGTCTTCCTTGTTATCAACAATCGTGAATATATCATCCACGTATCTCCTTTATAATGTTGTCATGTTTAATTCTGAGGACACCTTATCTTCTAGGTAACCCATAAAAACATCGGCGAGGGTTGGCCCAAGTGGACTACCCATTGCGACTCCGTCAATTTGTCTGTAAAGTTCCCCATTAAACAGAAATTGAACATCTTTGGTGCAAAGTACCAACAGATCTCGTAGTAGTTCGGGGGAGAGTCGGGTTTTGGACGCATGGGCGCATATAATATCTATTGTTTCAACCAATGGTACATTGGTAAATAAGGATTCCACGTCTAAAGAGATCATACACTTGTCGGCGATATTCTGGTCCTTATACCGATTTCTGAACACTTACCTCTTTACCAACACCCGTTGTTTCCATTCCCAATTTCTAGAGGCTAAAGAAAACCATTTTGCTTATCTATTATTATTATTATTATTATTATTATTATTATTAACGTTTCGGCAATAAACTTTTACCTACTGAATCATTTACCCGTTGTCATGTCTGCGCCACCCCCGTTACGAGCCAGAATAACCCAAGTTCGCTCCCCCACCGTCTGACGGCTACAAGTTCGGAACAGCGACTCCATACTCGGCCCCTACACGTGCTTTAGAGTGACGTGGGCGTGAGCGAATACGCGTCACGCGAGAGTCAGTCAGTGTCAGCCTGGTCAGTTGATCGGGTGATGGTGCAGTTTGTGGGCCCCGCAATTGGCTACCCTCGGGGTTGAATGTTCTTACGTTCAGGCGCTCAGGCGTCATGATCACATGACTCCAAGCGCGGAGTGGTTGCCAGCGGCAGAAGACTTAATGTCTTTTGGGGCGCTACAAGTTCCCGTGGTAGCAGTCCTGCACTAAGTCGGAGACTAGTGGGCCAGCAAGAATTCCCTTGGACTGCTCATAGGCTCCTCATGCAAAGGTGAATTAGCTTTCCGGCGAAATTTAAACACCTCCATGAAATGCTCGGTCTTCAATGAACTGTGCATTTCTTCCTGTGTCTCCTCAAGTACTTTGCGCCGGACCCAGTGCACCAAATCTGATGGGATAAAATGCAAATGACGACCTCACGTCGAGAGAGACGACGATTTAGTCCAAATGAATCCTGCGCGTCATTCACTCTCCAGGAGCACATCTTTGTGCTTGGATTCGCTATATAGTTAGTTGTACCCTAGCCGTCATCGTTGATGGAGTACGGAGTAATGACGAATGCGCAGAAAACTAGAAACGGTTACAGTGAGCAATCGTTGTCCAATTTCCATACTTGAGGAGTTTTTAAATTACCGATTAATTTCAAACCCGACCTGCAATTTCCAAACTATAGGCTGTATGCCTCCCACGTAAAGAAAATCAAACACTCACCCATGACACTAGTAAGGTACTATATAGGGCGTTCCATCGAAAAGGTTTGAAAATTTTCCGCGTCTGTCCTCTGTGAGCTTGCATCTGGCCTATCTGCATATTGTTCCCTATCTTCTTTCTTTTTCACTGGCCCACCTGAACTGGGTTCGTTTATTTGGTCAGTTCTCGACTTTGACCATTGGACCGAAGGCCACTCTATTTTACTTGAAATCGTTCCAGTACAGGCGTGTGATTCACGCTTGCAAACGTACATCTTGTCGTCTAGAGGCAGGGCATTAGCACTCGGTCGACTCATCTGTAGTATACGGGCATCCACTGTCAATGCTCGTACTTTGTTTATTCTTGATTATTTGTAAATAGTACCCTACAAAACCCAGCTGGGGTTTCATTCTGATTTGATGTAGGCGTTACTCTAGGGCACCGAACTGTCAGGTACAGTGGGCTCATACAGTTTTGCAATGAATATGAACTATGCAGCACTTGTAAAGGTTCAGATGCGGTGCTTCTTGGAGAGCTACTTCACGGTCTTACAAAAGCTCACATTTACTAACTTCTTTTAAACCGGAAAGATGCCCCTGCTTCAAGTACAGACTTTAAGGAAGTAGCAGTTTGTTACCTGATAAGTACAAGGGAGAATACTTTTGTGTATCTTTTCTCTAAAATGTATTTGAATTTATGAGGACATCGAAAATCGATGGAGAACATATTACTTTAGTAGTCATTTTTACCTAAAGGTACACTCAAAAGCCGGTTTCCTGGCGCGAGTGAAGCGTTGTGGAATTATGTTGCATGATAGGCAATATTACCTTTCTTAAATAATCCCTTCCAATTGAAAACGCATTTCAGGATTTCAGCAACATTTCATGGGATACCTCACCCCCAGAGGCGATATCCATCTGCACATGTACTTTTAGGTGACTGGGCCCAGTCCCTTTGCGAATATTGTTTCACTGATCTTGCATGCGTACGTACATCACCAATAAACTCCCAGGAACCTTCAGTACTTTGCGTGACCAGAAGGATATTAACGGCATTTCATAGGGGGCAGTACCGACACATGATTTATCACATCCTCGCATGTGCGTAATTCACAAAGTAGCACCCGGACCAGTCGAGAACCTCTATCTTAATCGACCCAACGAAGTGCCAACCAGTAAGTAATGATATTCAGTCGTAACGAAGACGACGCCCAGACGGTATCCGTCTGGTCGCCAGTGAGAAAGCTGCTCAGGTTATGTATTATACTCGTTATACCACTACGCAAAGTAGGATTGAAAACGATCTTGCTAGATCTATAAAATTCAAGGGAAGTGTTTACAGGTGAGAGAGCAACATTTGGGCTCGAGGGATATGGCTCTTATTTTAAAAGGACGTGAGACAATACCCACGGCTGGCTGCTGAAAAGTTTAACCGCTGGAAATATTTTAATCATATGCATCGAATGCACGAATTTTGAAAGCCTATTTTAGCCGAAATGCTGAGATACGATTTGAGTGGAGTCATACTTAAGCTGTCACGAGCGATCTCTTTGGGTGTCGTACGTCACCCTGTATGCAGTTACCTTAGGTCTTCTCGACTTAAGGTTGGTGTGTGACTGGCTGATGCCGACAAATAAGCCAGAGTTTTCCATTTCAGTCTTGTGCGTATTTTGGAGTTGCAAAAATTCTCAGCGGGCAATTCAGAAGACCATTTTGGCGAGCGTAGGCGTGTTTTCGATAAATTTTCATCGAAAACACGCGTATACTCGCCAAAATGGTCTTCTGAATCGTTCGTAGTTGGCTGAACAAAACGAGCAGGTGCAACCTTACAACCAAACCGATAAAGCGCCACTCGCTTATATTTTGGTTCTCCCAAATTGAAATGAACATACAGAAAGTCTGACAGAGATGAGAACACCAAAGACTTGATCCCTCAACCAGGGCAAAAATTTGAACCTTGCTCGCTCTGCTTTAGAATCAAACAAGACGGAACAGAAAGACTGGGAAATGAAGTACGCTAGTAAAGACTTATGGGACACTCAAATATGTCCCCTAAAAATGCACTACTACAATCGGCTAGCTCCCCTGGGTCCACCGATTCCCTCGTCCGGTTTCAACTCTCGGAAACAACTACCCAAAGATCTACGTGAAAAAATAACTCGCAAATAACGTATATCTAACCAGATGCTAGATACGACTAAAGGCGTTCGATCTATCTTCGACTGTCGGAAGAACCCACACCTAAACTGTCAAAGCTCTCCTCAATCAAGTTCAGAAATTATACGATCCCTGAGTGTCTTTTTCCGTCTAGAAAGCAGTGCAGACAGAGCCCATCTTAGTAGGCTGAAGTCAGTAATTAGCTGATGAGCACGGAATCAGCACCGTTTAGTGTTTCTGCCGGAAAATAAGGTGGGTTGGTCGTACATCAGGGAACCACGATCTTCTACGACGGCTGACACCTGCTACGCGCTGAACGCAATTTCCGCAATGACAGTTCAACCGTCGATTCTGACGAGGTTCACCGTGTGCCCTACAGCAGTGTGGACGCAGGGACGTGACTCATGCTATAATTAGTTCCTATTGATGGTGAACTTGTGCTGCACCTACCGCAGTCTCCTCTTCCACTGAAGGGGGTCAGGCAGGTGGGTCCCTGGGGCCTGGCTGGTACTTTGGACAGTGAGTCAAGGGCGGGGAGCAGGCATGTAGGTTGATATGACAAAGGACTTAACAGAGCAGCAACTACTTGCAACTACTTACAAGGCTTAAGTAAGATGGTGGCCGACAAGCCACTGAAGATAAGGGAGGCGAGTCCCCGGGGCTTGGCTGGTACTGTGGACAGTGTGCCAAAAGCGGGGAGCAAGTATAACCTCAAACTACTTCAACATTTAGAAACCTTGAATAGTTGGCACTACGGGTGACAGAGTACTGCGCAAATTCCAATGGAAATGGTAGTCAGACGAAAAGGTACAAATATAAAATGTCAAACGCCGAATTAATGGTAACCAAACAGGTTACTGCATCAATCTAGGAATGCAGATTCACTCAAGTAAAGCCCCACGCATAGAAAAAAAGCGTGGGAGGCTTACCTTATAGAAGACGAAGGTTCTCAGTGATTCTTATGCCAACTCTAAATATATTACAGTGTTTAAGGGGTCTCAGGGACGAAAATTACTCATTGATCTAGGAAAGAACCAGGGATCACAACGTCGGGCTTTCTAAACGGCCAGAGTCGACTTGCAGGCCAGAGCATCGTCGTGAAGTAGGAGTAGAATCCTTAACAGAATTGCAGGGTGTTGCTTATCTGTATACGCGGCTGAAAATCTTGCACTATCGGCCTCTTGTTCCCTTCCCCTTGGCTAAAGCATGCTACAGATCCCATTTAGGAAGAGGACGTAATTGCGATTAAAATACAGTCTGTTGTAGCACAAAACGACGGGGAAGCTATAACAACCAACAAGAATGGTATGTTAAGTCGACGTCCTGTGAAAATCAGTCGGATCTCACGACTGGTGTTTTCCGCTTCTTTGGGCCTCTTAGGCCCTACATTAGCAAACTAGTGCCCGGGGACCACGTGCATTTCACATTAAAGTTTCTAGCACTACTTTTGAAGACTGTTTACTGGAGTTCACTGATACTACGAAATGCCGGAGAAGTAACATTTCCCCAAATTGGCAAGTTGGTTAAACGTCAATTTCTGTATGTTCAAAAAGCATTCCACATTGGATAGTTTTCTACCCAGGGATATGAGGTTTAACTGGGGTCTACAGGACCGGCGCTCGAAGAATAACGAAAAGTCGGAGAAACTACCGAAAATCCCTGACATCATCCACGGCCGTCATGCGGTCGAGAAATTAATACTACACTTACTTGTTAGTAAAAATGACCGTTTGGCTCGCGGACCAAAGGACCTCGCGAAGTGTGAGTACTCACTTCAAACAGGAATTGCTCCAAAGAGCAACTCGATCGAAATGGTAAAGTGGCTTGCGTAGGCGTGAAGGCACAGAAATCGAAGAAAGTAGGTGGGGAAGATTTATGCTATCGTCATCAGAAAATTGAACAGAAAACACCAGAAAAGCTTGATCTCGAGATGATAATAGATGCATGCAGAGTCTAATCAGGCTGTGGTTCCGCTAACGTAGCAGAATCAAACAGCAAAGGATTGAGAAGGCCTCAAGAAATAGGCACCTTATAGACAAAGAAGTGATACGTGTTATTCTGTCATAGGAACACACATTTCCTCTTATGAGATTGACTGAAAGAAGAGGTGGTAAAAGAAAGTGGAAAGCTGGGTGCGCCTTTCGATAACTGAATAGGGGGTCACAGCCTCAAGAAGAACATTAGACTTCGGGCAATCTGGGAGCCAAAGTTAGCACGGAATAGCATTCGACGAACGAATACTGACGCGCCAATGGTGAGATCGTTTAATTGGGTCGTGGAGGAATCGGTGGAATTGGTGGCGGAGTGGCGCGGCTCCTGTTGGCAAAAGAATAAAACAGTTCAAATTCCATCTGGCAAGTAAACCAAGGCAACAGTTAAACAGTCAAAAGGAACAGCAGCAGACAACATGCGAAAAGAGGAAAAACGACCGGAGCTGACGAAACACAGATAGCAGACTCGGCAACAAAGATAATGAGATTGAATTTTGTGGGCCAAAATTTAGACTGTTAGAGGGGGGGGATGCTAGTATCCATTCTGCTGTTCCTAGCAAACAGCGACGGTTGAAAGTACTTCTCCGTAATTCACAAGCATTCCCCTGTGGCCTGGAGAGCAGTACTTCTGTCCAGGTGAGACTTCGATGCGTGCATTGCTGAATTCCATGAAGAGCCAACAACACGGGCGCGACGTCTGAGATGAGTGAGCTGCTTGCATTCCAAATGTTCCTAAGAACTGTCGGCGAGTGAAATCTAGTAAGCGTGCCTACTAGGGTTGCACTCCGAAGCACTACTTTCACCAGCTATGCAGGAATAAAATTCCAGTTAAGCTAACAGGAATTAGTCAAACGCACACTGCCCTGGTTCACAAAAAAACTCTGCAAAGTAGAGAGCGGACTTAAAAAGACATTTGTAAAATGAAATTCACAACACAGTCTGTGCGCCGGATCGTCCTTTAGTACCAGTCATTGTTATTTTCATGCATATCTTAGGGGATACAAGTAGGACGGTGATTAAATTGAGAACGGGGGGGGATGGGCAAGGCTACGATTTTGGAGAGAATAGAAGACGGCAAAGACAACCGGAAGAAGAACCCAAATTTGGCAATCTTGTAAGTTCTGATAAGAAAATGTCGACTATCAACATAAATGCAACCAGAAAGTAGT